CCCCCCCCACCCTAATTCCCCCTAAAAATTTGCTAAAACACCCCTGTAAAAACCTTCTTAATTTGCATAATTTCAACGATTTTTTGTCCCTGGCCCCTGCATGCCTCCTCTCGGGGTTCCTTGTCCACGAGTCATAAAAGAGCCAAGGTTGACTACCCCTGGCCTAGATGGGGAATGACAGACTCCAGCTGAACCTGGTAAGCAGGAGTGGCTATGAGTGGGCCCCTCTGTATCCAGGACCCTTATCATCTTTGGTCCTGGAGAGGATTGCACTACCCTAAACAAACCTGGTGCATAGTCTGGGGATCCTTTAGGACTTACAGCTCCTGCTCCAAAAGCAGATGGCAGCCATGACTAGGAGGGCCACGGCTCAATTTCGTGTTATATATTCAGTTACACCCTTTCCTGGATAGGGAGGCTCTCATGCCCTGACTATCTCCCATTTGGATTGTTGCAATGTGCTCTACATGGGGCAACCCTTGAAAAGTATCCAGAAGCTTTACCTGGTGCAGAATGTGGCCACATGAGCAATTTTGGGTGTCCAAAGAAGGGTGCGTGCAACACCTTTGCTCTGAAAACTGCACTTGGCGCCAGTTTGCTTCTGGGTTCAATTCAAGGTGTTGGTTATGATCTATAAAGCCCTGCACAGTATGGGCCCAGGCTACTTATGGAACTGGCTTTGTTCCCTTACATCAGCCCATCCCACTCAGTCAGGCAGGAAAAGTTATGTCAGTTAAAGAACTTAGGTGGGGTCCAGGAAGAGAGCCTTCTGTGCCATTGCCTGCACCCTGTGGAATATTCACCACCCAGAGGTGCAGCAGGCCCCCACCCTCCCAGCCTTCTGAAAAAGAATCAAAACATGGCTCTGTAGCCTCACATGGGAAGCCCAGAGAAGCATGCAGCCATGGGGCTTTCAGTACCTTGACTTTTAACAGTGTTTTATCATCCTTACCTCTTTCTAATTTTTTTTAACTTTTATTTACTCTGCTTATATTTTAATACTTTGATGTACACTGTCTAGGTCTCTCTCTGAGGAAAATCAGCAGCAGTTCAAAAGTGTAAAAAATAAAATGATGATGAGAAACAGGCTTGCTGCTACAAAATCGCTATTTCCAAGAGTTTAGAGATATGATATTGTTGCCATTACAGAAACATGGTGGGATGAAACCCACAAATGGAACACACAGCTAGAGTGATTTAAATTATTTAAAAGAAACAGACCAAACAAAAGAGGAGGTGGAGTTGCTCTCTATATAAGAAATAACTATATCTCTACAGAAATAGAGCACAACAATGATGAAAACTGTCTTGAATGCATTTGGGTCAATATAAAAGGAGGGGGAATGACATTGCCATAGGTGTATACTATAGGCCGCCCAACCAAACAGAGGAAATAGATGAACTTTTTGCTAATCAGCTAACTAAAGTATGTAGGAAGCACATCACAATAGTAATGGGGGACTTTAATTACCCTGACATCAACTAGGAGACAAACTCTGCACCAAGTGGAAGATCAAACAGATTCCTGACAAATCTAGCAGACAACTTTGTCTCCCAAAAAGTAGAGAAGGGAACTACGGGATTAACCGTATTGGATCTAATCCTCACTAACAGAGATAAAATGATAGAAGGTGTTGAAGCCACAGGAACCTTGGGGGAAGTGATCATGTAATATTAGAATTCAACATTATGGAAGCACAAGTAATAGAACACAGTCAAACTAGAGTCTTGGACTTTAAGAGACCTAATTTCAATAAACTTAGAGAGAGCTTGGGTAGGATTCCATGGATGAGAATCCTCAAGAGGAAAACAACTCAAGAAGCTTGGGAAATTTTGAAAAGTGAGATAATAAAAGCCCAGTCTAACACAATACCAACAAAGAAGAAAAATAACAGCTCTCAAAAGAAACCAGCATGGCTACATAAAGAACTCTCTGATAAATTGAAAGATAAAAAGGACAAGTATAAAAAGTGGAAAGAGGGGCACATAATTAAGGCAGATTATCAGCAAATAGCCCGAGCCTGCAAAGATGAAGTGAGGAAAGCTAAGGCTCAAAATGAACTAAGGCTTGCGACCAGAGTCAAAAATAACAACAAAAAAAACTTCTTTCAACATGTAAAAACAAGAAAAAAGTTAAGGAAATGATTGGTCCATTAGTAGGGGAAAGTGGCAAGAAGGTGGACAAGCAACAGGGAGAAAGCAGAACTATTTAACTCATTTTTTGCATCTGTCTTTACACAAAGGGAAAAACAGTCCAACCTATCAAAACAGCATCATAAAAAAACAGATTAGAAACACAAGTTAAGATAGGCAAGAAAATGGTGAACACCTGTCCAGCCTAGATGAGTTCAAATCACCAGGACCAGATGGATTACACCCCAAGGCTCTCAAGGAACTGGCAGATGTGATCTCAGAGCCACTGAACTATATTTTTCAAAGATCCTGGAGCACTGGGGAACTATCAGAGGACTGGAAAAGAGCTGATGTAGTTCCCATCTTCAAAAAAGAAAAAAAAATGGGTCCAGGGAATTACAGACCTATCAGCCTGATCTCAATACCTGGGAAGATTCTGGAAAAGATAATCAAACAACGAATCAGCGAGGCAAATAAAGTCATTACTAGAGGCAAATAAAGTCATTACTAAAAGCCAACATGGGTTTGTCAAAAACAGATCATGCCAGACAAATCTTATTGCATTCTCTGACCAAGTGACAAAATTAGTGGATCAGAGGAATGCTGAGGATATAATTTACTTGGACTTCAGTAAGGCATTTGATAAAGTAGATCACAACCTACTACTTGATAAGATAGAAAAATGTGGGTTAGACAGCATCACCACCAGATGGATACGTAGCTGACTGACCGGCCGTACTCAGCGTGTAGTCCTCAATGGAACTGCATCTACATGGAGGGAAGTGTGTAGTGCCCCAGAGCTCTGTTCTAGGCCCAGTGCTCTTCAACATCTTCATCAGTGATTTGGACAAGGGGATAGATGGGGAACTCATCAAATTTGCAGATGACACCAAGCTGGCAGGAATAGCCAACACTCCAGAAGATAGGCTTAAGATACAGGAGGATCTGGACAGACTTGAATATTCTAACTATCTAACAAAATGAAATTCAATGGTGCAAAAAGTAAGGTTCTTCATTTAGGTAAGAAAAACCAAACATACAGGTATAGTATAGGTAGTTCCTTGCTCAATAGTAGTAACTGTGAGAGGGATCTTGGAGCCCTAGTGGACAATCACTTAAATATGAGCCAGCAGTGTGCTGCAGCTGTCAAAAAAGCCAACACAATGCTAGGCTGCATTAACAGAGGGATAGAATCAAGATCACGTGAAGTATTAATACCACTTTACAATGCCTTGGTAAGGCCACTTGGAATACTGCATCCAGTTTTGGTCACCACGATGTAAAAAAGATGTTGAGACTCTAGAAAGAGTACAGAAAAGAACAACAAAGATGATTAGGGGACTTGAGGCTAAAACATATAAGGAACGGTTGCTGGAATTGGGTATGTCTAGTTTAATGAAGAGAAGGACAAGAGGGGACATGATAGCAGTATTCCAATATCTCAGGGGCTGCCACAAAGAAGAGGGAGTCAAGCTATTCTCCAAAGCACCTGAAGGCAGGACATGAAGCAACAGACGGAAACTAATCAAGGAGAGAAGCAACTTAGAACTAAGGAGAAACTTCCTGACAGTTAGAACAATTAACCAGTGGAATAACCTGCCTCCAGAAGCGGTGAATGCTCCAACATTGGAAGTTTTTAAGAAGAGACTGGACAGCCATTTGTCTGTAATGGTATAGGGTTTCCTGCCTGAGCAGGGGGTTGGACTAGATGACCTCCAAGGTCCCTTCCAACTTTATTATTATTATTATTATTATTATTATTATTATTATTATTATTATTATTATTATTATTATTATTATTATTATTATTATAGATATTTTGATTCTTTCATAATGCTCTGCACCACAATTACTTTTGATACAAGGATAATAGTTCACTGGTACTAGGACCTGAGTACATAAGTGCATTTTTATCTGTCACATCAGCTTTAACAGCAAAGACAAAAAACTGTAAGTCTCAGTCTATCTTCATTGGACAGTGGCTGCTAGACTGACTTCTGCAGAACGTTGGAGTGGCTTTTTTCATTTTTTTTCCCATTTCCTTTCACATGTAGAATTCCCAAGGATGTGTATATCTTGGGTGATGATGCAGATCTTTCAATCATAATGGAGACATTTTGTCAATGGTCCATGAGGCTGGTCTTTCAATTTTTGTACTTGCTTCTAAACCAAGAGGTGATCTTTCAAACTAGAGATTTGTCAACCTGATATATACCATAGGATAGCAACTTTAAATGAAAGTGGATTTTGTGTCCAGGAATGGCTTGTGGGCTACACATCTAGTTTCAAGACTAAAAGGAGATTCTAGGACTTTGTGATAAAACTGGAGCATACTATAGAACCGGAAGTCCAGCAATGGAGTCCATAGCATCATGGTATCAGGAAGTTCTGGATAGGAAAACTGAAAGCTTACACTTGAAAGTTTTAGTTTAGAATTAAGATGATCTCAAAATAATTTTTTTATTTCTTTTTCCTTAAGCTTCTCACGCCCTCTAATGGTGTTTTCATTCCTCTACAGGCTCACTTACTGAGTGCTATGATGAATTGGGTAACCGATACCAACTTCCTGTATATTGCCTGGCACCACCTATTAACTTGATTATGGAGTGGAGTGAAGAGGAGGGTGCAGAACCTCCAGA